TATAAGTTTGGCTGGCTCCCTTGCTTTTGACCTGAGATAAAGCAGAACATCATTGTAGTGGGAGCATGTGGTTGAGAAGGCTGGTCACCTTATGGATGCCAAGAAGGAAGGAGGGAGGGAGAGACAGGAGAGAGGAAAGAGCAGAGAGGGAGGAGAGAAGATGGAAGAGAGAGGAGGAGAGAAAGAAGAGAAAAGAAAAAAGACAAGGGGAGAGTAGAAGAGAAGAGAGGAGAGGAGAGGAGGAGGAGGAGGAGGGAGGAGAATAAGAAAAGGGAAGGGGAAGAAGGATCCAAACTATAAAATTTGTCTACTGTATTTATGTCCTGGGTCATATGACTGGTCAAGAAACAGAAAGCATTTATCAAATTAATGTTATTCTGATTGTTTTGCAGCAAATTCCAGGTGTTTCTCCAATAGGACAATATACCACTCTTTTGCCTTTGCTGGTTATTCTTGCAATTTCAGGCATCAAAGAGGTTGTAGAAGATTATGTAAGTTTTCTGTTAGATAATGAAATACTCTCAAAACTCTGCCCTGACTCTTAAGGTATTCTTTGCTGCTCCAAGTCTTTTTTCCTCCTCCTCCTCTTCCCCTCCCCCTCCTCTTCTTCCTCCTCTCCTCTTCCCCTTTATTTCTTCTTTCTCCTTTTCCTTCTTTCTCCTCTTTCTCTTCTTTCCAGACAGTTGGGTGGAACTGGTGGGATTCTTTGAAATCTACCGTTGGTGTGAAGAATAAAGTAAGATTTTGAGGGTTTAAATTTAAGATAATAAACTTTTTGGTTGTGTCTTTGAGGAACTAATAGCACCTAGGAGTTGTCATGAGAAGAATTATGACAGTATCTTTGGAGATATAATCCCATTGAAGGCAAAAGTCTTAAACAGCTAAAAGAGATGTGTCCTTTGTCACAGCAGATTGTTTAATATTGTTTTTTTCTGCTTGCTCTTTTACTCTGACTGGTCTCCTTCTTTTACTCTTACAATCCTAATGTTTGTTTCCCCAAATTACTGGCCATTATTATTCACAGGTCTCTGCCTGATTCCTATCCTCCTATGAAGATATGCCATCAGCAAAATCTGTCCTTTGGTTCTTTTGCTTGGTGTTTGATATAAAGAATTGTTCATGCTTAATCAGAAGGCCTACGTTAAGTTGAGGAGAGAGAGAGAGAGAGAGAGAGAGAGAGAGAGAGAAACAATCCAGCATTGTAAATTACATATTTAACCCAATATAGTCATTATAAGCTATATATTAATGTGCTAGCATTCCTAGCAGTACTTACTTTGTACAAGGTACATGGAGGAGTAAGTCTGTGTGTTTGTGTTGTGTGTGTATGTCTGTGGGGGGGTACTCACTTGAGGCACATACAGGCTCTGCTGCATCAGCGAGAGGCAGATATGGGTTGTCCACATACTTAACCACTTTGCTATACTCCCTTCCATTAGCCACATCACAGCTTAGGGAATCATGAAAGGGCAAAATGAAATTGAAATCAATTACAGCCAAAGAAGATTTTACAATTAGGTTAGCTGCCTTTATTCTTTCTTAAAACTACTATGTCTTCTACTATGAGTTGCATTTTTCATTTTGAACTTTACATGTAACAATTTTTTCCCCCATAACAGAAACGGTATATGGCAGACAAAGTAGTTAACTCAAAGACCACTTCAGGTAAGTGTGATTGTTAATTTCATTTGTTAA